GAGAGAGAGAGAGAGAGAGAGAGAGAGAGAGAGAGAGAGAGAGAGAGAGAGAGAGAGAGAGAGAGAGTAATGAGCCTCAAATCTCTCCATATGATGGACTGCTCAAGCCAGCATGCAAGTCTCACAGATTCACGGATTGCATTGTCACACACATTGCACAAAGAGAAGACGAGTAGTAGACCAGATAGCGCAGCTCAAGTATTACAACCAGATTATATAGAGAGAATCATGAGTTCAGCTGTCCGGCGCTCAACAAGATTACAAGTCTTCTTCAATCATCAGGAGTCTCAACTTCTGCGCTCATCAGCGCTCGTCATCCACACCAAGTTCAGCACTCTTCAGGTAAGTAGTCACCATGTCTCACTCTCTCTTTTTCTCTTATCTATCTCTCACTTGATGATTCTGGTGCTCCCTACACAGTCTTCTTCTTCTTCTCTCACATGCGCACTCCCTACTACTAACACTCACATGAGGATCAACTCTGAATACTACTCACTGCTCTACTACTAACCACTAACTACATTGCTTCCTGGTGCTGGCGCAGCTATGGCTGCCTTCTTCTCTGCCAGCGTCTACTTCCTCTCTCTCATCTCACTCAGTGCTGCTCTCTGGCTTAGCGCAGCTCCCACACTAGCGCACAAGTGCACAAGCACTTCCACACTCTCGTGTGAATCCGCATCTGCCCGAATGGTAGGCTGGCCAGTCCTTTTGTAGTCTTGGAATGCACTTTAACTCGTGCCAGCCTCTGCTTCCTGCGCCTGACTGGTCCCGGTACCACATCCCTACGGCCTGTCTGCTTCTGAATGCCAAGGCCTGGAACCTTCCCGAATTTCCATGGGTCTGCTTCTGTTTGGACCTTTGGGTAATGACTTTTCATTTGGGAACATGACTTTTGACTGTGGATAGTGACTCCTGCCTGTGGGTCACGACTTTTGCCTGTGGTACTGCCTTTACTCGTGGGATGTGACTCTTCAATATGATTTTTCATTAGGAAACGTGACTCCTCTGAATGGCTTTTATTATGAGACGTGACTCTTGTCCCTGAGATGTGACTTTTTGTTGGGTGCCTGTTGGACCAGACTGCTGAGGTACCCGATTGTGACTTCTCTGAGTTTGACAGACTCAGCCTTTCCTTGACCTGAACATCTGACCCTGAGATCCGAATTTG